TTTCAAACTGTTCTGGTCTCTCCTCTATATATCCCCAGATGCAAACTAGGCTTATTTAAAAACATTAATAAATCGTGGGGGAGACAACTGGTTATGCGTTAAGGATTGCAATTTTAAAATGTTATCTCGCTGATGCAAATTGACATCGTACTGGTAGAGAATAACTTGATCAGAAAATCTTCTAATGAAATTTTTCCATATTCTTAAACCAAATACATCCAGGGGTTGAATTTGACCTGTTGTCCCTGCAGGTATAGACTTAATTTATAATTTAAACTTAACATCCGATGGAGTTACTTCACTAATAATTTCAGGGCAGTGGCCACTCCAAGAATCCAGTAATAGTAATGATTTGGGTCCGGTGTTTGGGAAATAGACATTTTGTAGCCAATTTTTCATATGAGCAGAAGTCGGTTTACCAGACTTTGATGCCAAAACGAATATGTTATCTGCTTTGAACATTGTATTTATTACCCTCGGTCCAAACGTACCAGAGAATTCTAACAATGTAGAATACAATTTTTGATGCTTAACCATTTTTTTTCAGTTGCTTTTTAACTCATTATTAATAAATATTTATATAATTATCCAATCTTTTGTGTTATTTAAATAGAATAAGTATAAAAAAGCTTTTTCTGTAGGAGTATATGCAAGTTATTAGCGAAAATATATTTTCTACCCCAAACTTCTAACCCTTGTTAAGTTCTTACAATAGTACTAATGTACAAAAAAATCATCGTGGTAAATTGAACCAAAATCGACAAACAATTTTCGCAAAAAAAAGTAATTTTTGGGGTGGTTGGGGTAGTTAACCCCAGCCACCCCTTAATGTCCTATAGGGTTCATTTTACTGCGTAAATCTTAATTTACATCTAATTAATGGTTTTCTTCAAAATATTGTTCAAAAGTGTAACAGTTTATCACATTATTCTTAAGGAAAGGGGTTATCTATCATACCCCGTAACTTTGCAGGGGATGGTCAGAGGCAAATAAGAAAAAACACGTCATTAATATTTTTAAACGTACTATAAGGACACATAATATCGCCAAAATCGACAGGGTAGTTTTTAAAATATTCCAAAAAACTAGGGGTAGTTTACCCCCTGAAGCCCTCAGATATATGTGTGATATATCAATGGAAAGCTCTTTGAAAATGAATATCAGTTTACATTTACCACATTTCGATAGCTATTTTCGTTTTCAGCCTATAAGGGAATATATGTATTTCGCCCCGATTTCCAACCCTTATAACTCGCCCCAGGGGCTTTATTAGCATGTATAAAAAAATACGTAAACCTTGTTTTTGGCCATACTATCGCTGTACCAAATTTCAACAAAATCGGTCAGGGCCAGATTTTTCTGGTCTTCCATACCGTGATAGAGTTTTTTTGGGTGGAAGTCCTTTAAAAACAATTTTCTTGCCGAGCCATTTCTCATTCTTTGAGATAAATATCTTTTTAATACGATGGCATTTTTTCCATTTTAACATTAATTAACTGCAAAAGTTTTCAATCGTTTTTTTTTTTTGTTTAAAATCCTCCTCATATTCCAAAAAGTCGCTTTTTTGCGTCAAAAAACTTAATACTGCCTTAGTTTTTTTATCCACGTTTGTTTCGTCCTGCCAAATGCAAAATAATGTTTCCCGTTGTGCTCAGTATGACAAATCGTTGACAAATCTAAAAACGTCGATAAAGTCTAAAGTTGCGAAAAGCTGCAACTAAATTTAATGTAAACGAATTATTAATAAGTTATTTGATAACATTATATAAATAATTTGATCAATACACGCCAATTCGTAATGTTTTACTTTAACAAATTTAACACAAAATTTAAAAAATAGTAATTTGTAAAAGTAATTTTTAAACCATAAATCTTTACTAATGTTCAACAAACTCTTATTGTTTGTACACTATAAATTGCTTACTTACTTATTTTTACAGGATTCATAGCGAGAACAAAAAAAAAGAGCTTTATTTAACATGAATTCAATCAAAAAACAAAATATGACAGACAACCGCGTAAGTGCGTCAAGCCTTGTACGATCATTTTTATTGCAGCGTTTCCTTATTCCACGTTCGATCTTGAAATGTTTTAATTGTTAGATTTAATACTTTCAAGGATTCAAGATTATTTTTATGTAATAAAAAGCTTTAAAGTGTCCAATCGGATATTTGACTTTCGCTCATTTAAATTGGCAAAAGTGACCACTGTGGGACGTCGCGCCTTATTTTTTTATGCAGGTAAGATAAAGGCGCGACGTACTATCTGGGACGCACCATCTGTTCCGGTTGGACGGAACCCTCCACTCCCCGCATAGCTTATTTCTGTTTCTCTTTAATTTGTAATGCCATTAAATCGCTCTTAAAAAAATAGAGAGCCCTAATTTTGAAAAACTGATAACGGAATTTGAGAACCGACATTATTTTTTGACATTTTTTTTTTTTATATTTGACATATTTTGGTAAAAACCGCGTTGAAATCCGCCAGGTCGTTTTCGAAATAACCGCATTCTACTAAACCGCGATTTTCCGTGAAACTATATAAAGTATCGATAAAATAAACTACAGTCAACCCTCCTATAACGCGGTACTCTCAGAACGCGGTTTCCATATACCGCTGAGCTGAAATTGCGACAGCCCTCCTATGGGTAGCCCAATACCGACAATTTTGTCTATTTACTTGGCCACTCAATGTGAATGTTCCCTCGTCGGAAAAAATATGTTTTTGACAAAGTCTTCGTCATCGTAGCAAAATTGTTATTGGAAAAACTACTCTCGACTCACGACTTATTAATCGTGAATGAGGTTTACTTTATAGGAATAATATTTTGCAATATTTAAAATTTTATGAACCGTTGATTTACTAATGGCCAAATTTGACCCAACACCCCTAACAGTAACATAAGGGTGTAATTCCTTGCCCAGCCAAAACCACCTTTTGTTGAACCTCCCTTGAAACATTTGGTCGGGCAGACTTTGAGAAATATCGAAGATATCCATGCTTTTTAAATTTAGTCACAGCTAGGCTTACCAACTAATGAGCTAAGAAGTTTTAGTCGATCAGCAAATGTTGCATTAAGGAGGTCAACTAGTTACTAAATCATTTTTTGACACTTAGAAAATTGTTTAAAATAGTTGGTTTACTCATGGCTAATGCTATTTTTACATGTCATCAAATTTGAAGTAGTTAAACTTTAAAGTAATTTTTCTCGAAAATTTTCTGATGTTAATATTGATTAATATTACTCAATATTAATATTGACTGTACTAGATTCAAAAAAACATCATCTTTCATATTCCGTAATTAAAATGTCGATAACGTCATAACTCGTTTAAAAATCGCGGAAAAAAATTAAAATTTACACCAAAAAATTGCAACAAATTTGCAGTGATTTTTCCATAAACCGTTTATAATGATTTTATTGTCTATATCCGCTACTTTACAGACATACTGTATAAGAGCGTATAAGAGGTTGTCTACGTTGCTATGCTGCAATACTTTGATTTTAGTTTGTCGATGAAGGGCAAGAGCAGGCGTGTTTCTGGACGTAAATGGCGGATTGCGCGCGCAACTACAAGGCCATGTGGATATCAGTGCTTTTTGTTTAGTGAGAGTTGAAGTGTGTTTGAATGTGTTATTGTAATTTTCAATATTAAAACATTGCGTTTCTTTGCTATTCTTTTTGTTATTGTGAGATTTAATAACGAATTTCAAGGTAATATTATTATTTATAATTACAAAGGCAAGGTGATTTTACCCAAAATGCGTTATAGTAATCTCGTTGGTTCATAAGATACAGGTGTTTTTATAAAAAATGATCTTTTTAATTTTTTTAACTTACTAATATAATATTCTTGTTTATAGATATACAGTTATTCAACCAGTCGAGTTGGGTTACTCCAACTATCTAGCTATGCTTTTATACACGTTTGTTTGTCCCAATTAAACGCTTTCTAATCCATTTGTAATTAAAAAATATTGTAAACAAAAGTAAATCAAAACGCCTAAACTGTTTACAAACATTCAGTGTATATCAATAGGACAGTTTTTAACGCGTTAATACTCTATCCAGAGAGAAGCGAAGCGAGCAGCGTTGCTAGATCGTTAGTCAATTCAACCTGGACAAAAGCCCATTTTAAAAAATTGATCCGACCCTAAATTACTTTCAACCCATTAAAACTACCCATGATACAGTATTATTATCTGCAATAGATTTATTGTCTTTATGAACACCCTGGCTTGTAGGTCAGTTCAAAGTTGACTATAAATAGTGCTTGACGTTATTAGTTACAATGCTGTGAACAGTTTCCTGAATTTTATCAATCATTATTCGGTTTCTGGATTACTTTAAAAAGTTCTGAATTATGGAAGTAAATGAGCCAGGTATGTGCTATTAATATACCATATATTTCTATATGTATTCATGCGATTAGAGTAAATAATACATTTTGAAAGTAATGCATAATTTATTTTATTTTCCTATATTTTTCATATTTAGAAGAGGAAAAGTTACACTTTCAAGTGTCGATTTTACAGTATTAATTAGCTTAGAGTGTGTTTTGCGTAGAAAGTACTTTACCTGCGAACTGGTGTGAAGTTATCCATAAATCCCAGCAATAAACTTAAAACATTAATAATTCCGTAACCAATACGATTTGGGTAACCAAATTTCACACACAGGTCACTCTTACCCCCAAGAACAGCTAACCACCCCCATTTGGTAAAAAAAAATTTTTCAACCCTCACCCCCGAAAAAGGGATGTTTTTGCCCTGATGGGCACCTTCGAATTAAACGAAATTCTACCACATAATAGAACACACTTCTAAGTATTTTTACCAACTTTCAAAACACCGTAAGCCCTAACGGTTTTCGAGAAAAAAAATCAGTATTATAAACCGCGGATGGGACTTTAGGGGTCAATTTGACCCCATTGGGCACCTCCAAAATTAATGAAATTTTAGGATGATTTAGAAATTTAGAGGATGCCTTTAGCAATTGAAATCAACCATCCAAACACCGTAAGGTATAACGGTTCCCGAGAAAAAAAATGTGTTATTAGACACTATAGGTACACAGCGCGGCGCGGACTTTGGGGGTGAATTTGACCCCGTTGGGCACCTCCAAAATTGATCAAATTTTAGGATGATTTAGAGGATGCCTTTAGCGATTTAAATCGACCATCCAAACACCGTAAGGTATAACGGTTTCCGAAAAAAAAAATTTGTTATTAGACACTATAGGTATACAGCGCGGCGCGGACTTTGGGGGTGAATTTGACCCCGTTGGGCACCTCCAAAATTGACGAAATTTTAGGATGATTTAGAGGATGCCTTTAGCGATTGAAATCAACCATCCAAACACCGTAAGGTATTACGGTTTCCGAGAAAAAAAATGTGTTATTAGACACTATAGGTACACAGCGCGGCGCGGACTTTGGGGGTGAATTTGACCCCGTTGGGCACCTCCAAAATTGATGAAATTTTAGGATGATTTGGAGGGTGGACTTTTGATAGAAAAAAAACTTTTGATAGAGAAAGAAATTTATTATATTAATGGTCTGTTTTACTTATAATTAAATTGTGTAATGGATTGAGAATATGATTATAATTACTTGCTACCGCGTTCCAGACCGTTTCCAACCCTTGTTCATTTAAGTAAATGCGATCCCTGTGTATAAATTTGTATTAAATACATAAGAAAACGCTAAACGTTTTGTTACCCTTCCATCATGGATCTGTTAACAATTGCTTCAATGTCGGTACAATTGATTTGCTTTTCAGCACAAAACCGTCGAATGTAATGATTGATTTCCTATAAAGGCATGGAGAGTATTTATTTATAGCATGACAGAGAAGTTATAATATCTTACGTTCACAGACTCGAAGTTTTTGCAGGGAGGAATTGTGCAAATTTGTATTCCTTTAGGATTTAAGGAAAGAAGGAAGCGGAAGAGGTGAGAATATTGGGACTTCAGTTGGGATGGTGATGTTTTATGGAGTATATCTTTAGTTCTTATCATTATAACGATATGACGTTCAACAATATCTCCACAAAACCAAGGGTAACATGTTTTTGGAATACACTTTGCGCGCCGCAAAAGTTTTAGTATTGTTTGACCGCCTACTGCTAAGTCGAGGAAATATTTTCCGTTGCTTGTCCGTTTTGATTGTCGTCCTAAAAATATATACCATTAGTAGGAATTAACTTCATATCTGTTAAAACAAATACTTACTTTGTATAGTACGTAGCATTCGGCAAAAATTACTATCGCCCAAAAACAGTAATTTCGTCGACATCTTCACTGGTCACTGGTTTTAACAAGAGATAACTAGAACAGCTGATCTCTGCAATAGCTGAGGAATCTTTATATATTATAAGTTTACTCCTCACCTTTCGGGCAAAATCTAAAAAATGTGTATGACGCTCTAAAACAACACCGAATAAGTCGGCAACTATTTTCCCGGAATGCACTTATAATGCAAAAAATATGGACATATTTTTTCCTTAATACCTGCGCCTTTTGTAACTGCACGTGGCGGAGTTCTTACCCTTTGCCAGTAACGACTAAAAGCCCATAAAACTACAAAATGCCTTTCTTAACAAAATTTATTTTTTCCATGAAATATTAAGAGTTTCGCAGTTTTCATAATCTATTAAAATCGCTAAAGGCACCTACTATCTGCTCTACATACGTGTACAATTTAATAACGAAATTGTTTCTCTGAAGCCGTGGTCGGTGTTTGGATGGTCGATTTAAATTGCTAAAGGCATCCTCTAAATCATCCTAAAATTTCATCAATTTTGGAGGTGCCCAACGGGGTCAAATTCACCCCCAAAGTCCGCGCCGCGCTG